TGTTGTGTACCATAATCATCAACATTATTTCCTTAATTAATGATTTGCTTAGTGGCGCAACATTTAATACATTTTTGATGCGATTAGATGATATGCACCGTATAAAGTTGGCAAACAAAACTACATATATACAACATTTTTTATAATCTTATTATTTTTTACAGTGTACATAAATGCCAGAAATTTCCTGATTACGCCACAATTTAAGCGATCTCTAAAAAATTTGCAGCCTATGGCTAAGTAAAAAAGCAGATTACACTATGATAATTTTATGCACTATCTCGAGTTAATTTAAATAAGATGCTAACATAGAAGTAAAAATTGGTATATAGTCTTGCATAAACCTTTACTGACAAATTGGTATATATTTTGTCGATCGAATATGTAATAAGGAAGTTTTATAGTTACAAAAATAATACAGTAATACGTACTCTTAAAAATTTATTGTATTACGATTGGACCTGGTTCTGTTACACAATCTAATACTAAAAACATAATAACTTTTACTGTTGATAATCAAAAAAAAAAGTCATTGGAATAAAATATATAACTTTAAACTAATTTATCTACTTATATATTTATATATATCTCACATTTCATAAGTGTATATAAAAACCGATCACATGGTATTCAAACTCGATAACCATGGATGATTTTTAATTTCTTCTAAACTTGGTCTTCTTTCTGGCATAGTATGTAAGATTTTTTTAACCAAATCTTTCGCATCTTCACTAATAGACCCTCGTTTATCAGCCGTATTTGGATTCGGAAATTTAAAATCAGCTTTAATAATTTTAATGAAAAATTGTTTCCGTGTTTGACCGGCTTCTTGATTAAAGGGTAAATATCCTACCAATAATGCGTATAAAATAATTCCTAATGACCATATATCCGTTTTTCTACCATCATACGATGATGCAGATATTAATTCTGGTGCAGCATATTCTTCTGATCCACATCGAGTGGTTAAAAGTGGTGATTTTGGATTGATAAACCTTGCTAATCCAAAATCTGTTAATTTAATATGTTTTTTGTTTGATGACGATTCCGACGATTCAAGTAAAATATTTTCTAATTTAAGATCTCGATGAACAATATTTGATTCATGAAGGTAACTAACGATATTGACTAATTCATAAAAAATTTGTTTAGCTTCTTCCTCAGTGATTTTTTCATAGTATTCATTTACATAATCAAATAATTCCCCGCCTGGAACATATTCAAGTATTAGACAAAGATGTGTGGGTGTCTCAACAGTATCTAGCAGACTAACAATGTTTGGATGATTGATATACTGATAATAAAAATGTTGATTCGATTATTATTATATATTATTTATTAAAAATAAGTAATATTAGTATAAATATTTACCTCTAAAATTTTAATTTCCCGTGAAACACCTGTTTTCAAACACTCATTGTCTTGCATTTCTTTCAAGGAAATCATCTTTATTGCTACTTCTCTACAATTTTCTAAGTCTATAGCTAGTTTTACTTCTGAAAAAGAACCAGTTCCGATGAGTTTCAAAACAGCGTAATGACCAATTAATTCAGAATAATTTTGCAGTCCAAGTTTCGTCAACCTTTGTTGTAACATATGATGACCAATTATAGGACCCATATCGTCATTTGAATGGTGATTACCGTTACTTGTGTGATTTTTTGATGAAAGTTTGTTTATAAGTAAATTAGTATCTGATGTAGTACGATGATGTTGATAATTCTTGTTTCCAATGCTTAAATTAGATGAAATTTTCTCTCTGACTGTATATCGTTTAGATGTTGGAAAGTCATGAACTGAGGTAGCAGGACTAGGTAAAGTAGTCAACGAATCATCATCTAAAGCTAAACGTTGATTATGGTCTTTTTTTTTTATTCCAGAATTAGACTGTGCATTTAACCCCTCGAAGTTGGTGCTAATCGGTGGAAGTGCCTTTTTAGCCGTTCCTGCCATAGTGACCTCTTTCGTTACATCGCCATCAACTGATGATGACCCATTTACATCATCATAATCATTATTATCATCATCATTTGAATCGCCTAATGTAACAAAATGCCTTTTAGTTGAATTATCAGCGTAATTGGTAAATATTTGTTTCATCATTCTATTATCAGCGGTATCAGATGCGGAGGTACATCGAGTATTAACGAAAGGACAGGCTGATGAAGATATAGGAGGAGATGAAGTTGTAGATGAATATATTAAAGGGACTGATCCACCTTGAGAGTTGCTAGAAGTATGACGTTTTCTATTGTCCATCGCTGGGGAAGAATTCAAAATGGCTTTATCATAAGATCTAGAATCATTATTGGCAATAATGTTTTTTGACGGATCAGATAAAATTGGCATGCTTTTTAATGGATATGAAGTTTGATCTGTTGTTCTTTAACCGTGGAAACTTTCTTTTTTAAATGATAAAATGTTATAAAAATTCGAAATAGCTTCTCAGAAGCTTCTTGTGAAATCTAATATTTTTAAAATGCCTGCAAAATTGATCAAGCAAATTTTCAAAAGAAAAAATAAATAAATAAATAAATAAATTTTTTTTTTTTTCTTTTTTTTTTTACCTTTGGTCGATAATATTGTGAAACAAAAAATATTATTTTTTAATGAATAAATGCCAAAATTTATATATTATCGGGGATGGATCTGATCGCCAATACTTTTTAAAGATCGCGTGAAAAAATATCAGAATGGTAAAATAATTTAAGGCGCGAATCAAATTGAAATATATAGTTTTTGTGTAAATATATTATATAATAATGGAATATTCTACAGTGTCTTATATTTTTATTTTTGCTTCCAGTGGGATTTTATAATTTTCCAGTGGAATTCTATAATAGTAAAAGTGTTCAGTGGTAAAACTAATTCCAGCGGCTTCTAGCAGCTTCCAATAGCCTTTTCAGTATAATATTGGTAATAATGTATGTTCTAGTAAATTTTTTCTTATCTTTATTAAAGTTTTTTTCTTTTCTAAACGACTTCTTTACTGGTAAGCGCGGCAAAGAAAGTCAAGAAAAGTAAACCTTTGCTGATAACCAAAATCTTTATGAGAGTAAAGAGAGAATATAAAGAAATTTTTTTTTTTATTTTTAATTCGTACAAGAGAAATAAATCTTTTTTTCAAAACGAGATTGTGAATTGGGGGTATTACATACATATTGAAAAGCGATTGTCCAAAATTGGAAATCAGTAGCAGCGCCATCATCAAAATGAATAAAATGGGCGCTGGTACTCAAGTAATTATTAATTGGTTCAAAAATTCCATGTTGGCTAATTTCTGGTTCTACGCCTGAATTTTTAATCCAATAAAATTCTATAGAAATCCCATACGTTTCATTGTCAACATTTTTGACAATATCGAATATCAATTGACAATGTCGAATATCATTATTGTCAATCAAACTGGTAAGTTTAAAAATCTGTTACATAATCATATGGAAATTTTTATTTTCAAAAATATTTGATATCGTATCGATATTGTCAAACAATTACAAAAATGTTTATTAATTATCTTATTTCGGTAAAAACAGTATCGGTATCGGTATGGTTATGTATTAATAAGATCACAAATATTTTAATATAATAAAAATATATATATGTAGAAATACGTATTTAGTTTTTTATTAAGTATATATTTAGAATAAAATATTAACCATTACTACATTCATCTTTTGAATTAAATGTCTAAATCAATAGGACAATATCTAAATAAATTATAATGATATATCACACGTATTATAATAATAAAAATAAAGAACTTAAAATTCGTCTCTTGTAGGTAATTTATATCCTTCTTCCTTCTTTCGCTTTGGTAGTACACCAAATTCTTCTTCAAAGTCGTCGAGTAATTTATCCATTGCATCTTTTTCATCTTTTGTTTCTTTGACATCCTCCTTTTTCACTTCTTCTTTCTTTTCTTTCACTTCTTCTATTTTTACTTCTTTCGCTTTTTCATCCTTAACTTTCTCTTTCTCTTTTTCTACTTTTACTTCTTTCACTTTTTCATACTTAACTTTTTCTTTTTCTGCTTTTTCATCCTTAACTTTCTCTTTCTCTTTTTCTGCTTTTACTTCTTTCTCTTTTTCATCCTTAACTTTCTCTTTCTCTTTTTCTGCTTTTTCATCCTTAACTTCTTCATCCTTTTCTGGTTTTGTGACTTTAACTTCTCCATCATCCCCAAGTTTAACGTCTAGATCGATAATGTCATCATCATCGACTTTCTTATCAGTTGCATCACCCCCAGCTTCTTGCTTCTCCAACTCATCCAATTTTCTCTTTGCTTCTAATTCCGCATCTCGGAATTTGACATATGTCTCATTGGCAAATTTCTCTGCTGTTTCGACGTCATCAGTGATCAATATATTATCAAATATAGTGCCAGATCTCACTTGCCACAAATCGAATCCGATAAATGCGGTATTATAAGCATGAAGATTTGGTTCTGGGACATAATCTGGATTTGGAATCATAGGTTCTTTCCATTCTCCTTTGTATTTTGGATTAGGAATCATCTTTGGTTGCCATTCTCCTTTATAGGCAGGATTAGAAATATGTGGTGGCTCCCAGTCTCCATCCATTTCATCTTAATAAAAAAAATTACTTTTAATTAATGCTTGAAAATTTTTACACTGAAGAGCTTTTTTCTAAATATAAAAAATATTTACCATCCCAATCATTAGGCTTTTTAGCATCGGGATCGGGAATTGTGGCTGGGCTGTCTACCCAATCTTCCGGCTTACGATCATCTGGATCAGGGATCTCGGCTAAATCTTCCCAATCATCTGGTTTTTTGGCGGTTTTATCTATAATTTCTCTGGGTGGAAGCAAATCAAAATCGTCCTCCAAAGTTCCAGATGCTGCTTCTTCATTATCAATTAGGATTTTGTACGTCTATTAAAAAATTTTTCTTCAGTTACACGAATTTTAACTAACGAAATAATGTTTATAACATATACTTACATGATTAGGCTTTACTATCAAGGTATATAAATGTGTTACTTGATCCGATGGACACTTTATTGACTTTTTCATTTCTTTGTTTTCTTTTGTTCCCTTACGATTAAAAATTAAGTGAACTTTACGGTTCATACCACAAATATCAGGCTATTAACAAATTTTTTTTGTCATAGCATGTGAATAAAATCAAATCACATGATTAGCCAGTTTAGTTAGATGATTTGTCCAATAAAAAATGGATCCAAGTCTCAATCTTACCCCAAACATGATATTGTATAATGATTCTCCTTCGAAATTCAGCGCATCAAATTCAGGGGGAAGAAGCTAAACGTGACATTAAGAAAATCACGTAAAGGGTTAGTTAATATGTTGATCTGTTTAAAAATGACACGCATTTCATCAATGCTTACTTTTACATAACCTCCTCCGCAGTCGATATTTTGTTCATGTTTGACAGAGAATTGAACCACTACATAAATAATCATTAGTTTAATATTATCAATTGTTTTAAGTTTCTGAATCGAAATGATAAAATTATACCTAAATCCTTATCAGTATTATCAATTATCTTATCAAATTTCGTGGAAATTGCATAATATCTTGCGTCTTCTGAAGTTTGAAGGCCACGAGATTCAATTTTATCGGCGTGAAACTCTCCAGCTGTTACTGTAAACTTGCCAAGGTCTTCTTTATGCTTGGAATGGACCCACCGCTAGTTAAATTATAAAATTATTAAGGAAACAATTTAATAAGTGTTAGTCAAGTATATTTAATAAGCTCATCACCTTTATTTATACCTTTTCCCAGTCATTGTCGGAAAACGTTTCCTTTAAGTATATATCAGCTGAAGTGAGAGTGGATAAAGTAAGAAGACCTAGGACAAAAAAAATGGCAGATCGCCTCATTTTGACTATGTATGTATTAGGGGATAGTAAGTTCGAAGTTCGAAACCCAAAATTCGGTGGTCATTTTATTATCATTCGTAAAAACGTGTCAATAAATGAATGGTGCATCTAAAAATTCATACATAAAATTCCGTTCGTCATCTCCGATAATTTGTTACACGAACTATAAATAGTTTAAAAAGCTTATAAAAAAAAATTAAACATCGCCTAAGTTTTTTATTCATTTCTTTAAGTATTATAACACTTTATATATTATATATATATATATATATATTATCTCTTTGAAACTTTTTAATAATGTCTGAAGAAGATCTTGACATTGATAAATATCTTGCAACTGAAGCTACACAACTACAGAAAGATCAAGAAGTAGAACGTATCCTTTCAGCATTTAAACTGAATCCTTTTGACGTTCTTGATCTAGCACCGGATTGTACTGAAAAAGATATTAAAAATGCATATCGAAAAAAATCTCTACTCATTCACCCAGATAAAACTAAACATCCAAAAGCACAAGAAGCGTTTTCTTTATTGAAAAAGGTGTGAATCTTTAAATAAATTGAAATTTGTAAAGTTATTCTATGAACTTATGATATATATTATTTCTTACCATGGAGCGAAACTTTTTTTTTTTAATTTCAGGCTGAAACTGAATTAACTAATGAAAAATCACGACAACTTCTTTTAACAATCTTTGAAGAAGCAAAGATAACTTTAATTGCCGAACAAAAATTAAAATCTACAGATCCATTTATAAACACACCCGAATTTAAACTACAAATTAAACAAAAAACCAAAGATATTTTAATAGAACAAGAATTACGTCGGCGTAAATTATTAAAACGAGAATTAGAAGCACAAGGGTTGGCAGCGCAAAAAGCAGAACAAGTTGAAAGAGAAAAGAGAAGAAAAGCAGAAGAAGAAAAGTTATGGGAAGAAACTAGAGAACAAAGAGTTAATAATTGGAGAGATTTTCAAACAAAAAAGGGTACATCATCTCAAGGTGGAACTAAAAAGAAGAGAAAGTTTGTTAGTGAATTTAAACCACCAAAAGTTTTGGCCGAAGATCCTTCTAAACCTTATATAAAACGACCCACAAATACTAGTAATTAATTGTTATATACGTATAATTAAAAAAATGTAATATATATATATAATAAAAATAAAAATGCACAAGCGTATGCATACTATACATCACATTATACATATTCATGCTATATCACTTTATAATTTTTAATTTTTCACGTGACATGGCACTTTGTCATCTCAACTTTTGATATAATTCGTTCATATTTTCTCGGGTAATGCTGTATATATGTATGAAAGAAAAAATTCTTAAAAGTGTGTAATTTTGTAAGCAAAATGGTAATTTTTGAATACAACCAAAATGAATAATTTTTAATTCGGAGACATGAATGCTGCAATGTGAAAACCTATAACGATAAGTTTGAATTTAAATACATTGTACCGACTTGTAATATTATGTAATTTAATCACTATTTTATCGTTTTAGGAATATTAAATGATTAGAACACTGATAATAATACTTCAATTAGATAATATCAATTTTTTAAGTCCGGTCCAATAAAAATCACTTAAAGGTTTTCACCCTAACTAAATTTAGTATTTTATTGAATATTATTATATACAGTACGTATATATCTGATATATATGTATATCTGATATTGACGCATATACTAAATATATAGAATATATACGAATCTACTAAAAAAAACTTTTGTGTCAGATTTTGTAAATGTCATTATCTTTAAATAAAAAAAAGACATACGTATAGGCATTGTTATATTATGTTGCTAAATGTTACAGCGTATAAAAATACTATTTTTATTAACATCTAAAGCAAACGCATTCAAAAAAAGTCATTTAAACAGTTATACTGTATCTTTTATTTCTACTGTGTAAAATTTGATTTAAAAAAAGCCCTTTGAACATTCACATCTTTTAATTAATTGAGATTTTTCGGGCTAAGGTGAAAAGGATCTAATAAATATTAAATCATCCTTAAGAAATGAGATCGATCAAAAAATTTTTACTTAATAAAAGGTTCGAAATAGATGATGATGCCTCTATAATATAAAATTTTGTTCTGAGCAAGTTTAAAGTTATGCGATATAGAGGTCGATTTTTACGTTTATTCGATGCAGGGTTACGTATACGTACATATTTTAACTTGCAGAATAATATCTTACGTACAGTATAAAATTTTGTGAGTTTTCAAAATTTGATACGTAGAAATTTTTTACATCCAACACTAATACAGTGCGACATCCGTAGGGTGAGTCACGGGCATGCCAAGGGTAACATGGCATAAACATGCCTAAAAATAAAGTTGTTATAAAGCACACCACTTAAATATATGCATACTCTATTGTCGGAAATTGTACGTAGATGGTCAACGAACATAAAAATATGAATTGTCTGGGGTTTTTAGATGGGTGATATGATAGCATGCCAGGGTGGCATTCTGGCATGAAATTTGCTAGGTGGCCACCACCCTAGGCATCTGCCTGACTGATATAAAATCCTTCAGACAATTTTGTTAACAACGAGAGTGGAATCGTTTTGGAGTATATTTGATATTATGAAGGCTCATACATAACTATTCCAGAACATCTTTAGAATTGGTCTCATTGAATAGAGTTAAAACTTCAAATTTATTCTTCCACTATACAAAAATTATTCATATAATGTACAGTCTTTCTGCTCAAATTCTTTATTGATACATTAAATAAATGCCACAACTGAAGCTAAAAATCGAACTTATTTTAATATGAATTTTTAAAATTTTTTGGGTGCATTTTTAACATTTTTTAAGTTAGGTATATAAGATTTATGGTTAAGTTTATTAAAAAGAATATAGGTGGATACTAATAGAATCCATATTTTTAATGGGATCCCCTCAATTTCCATCTTCAGCCGCGACAAAAAATTACATATTCGTTGATAAAAAGAGCTTTTATATACGCTAGCAAAAAAATAAAAAATTCGACATATCGAATGGAAACATTCGACTGCCATCCAAACTGCTGAACTGACATTCGACACGTCAAATAGCAGTATTCAACTGCCATTCAACTGATATTTGACTGTCGAATAATGCCGTTCGAAATGATAGATCGAATGACAGATCGAATGGCATTTTCGATATCAGCTTGAATGTTGCCATTCGATGTTAATTTTATTAGTGACATGGATAGTAATAAATTTTCTTAGTTTAAGAGATATTTCATTGATCAACTTGACTTCAAGAAAAGACTGTGTCGGTGTAGTTTTCAACGGTAGATTCCCAATTTCAATTCTTGGATTCTTGAACAAAGGTCATAAAAGTAAAAAAACATGAGTACAGTTATTAACCATAATCTACCCGATATGATTCAAAGGTTATTTTATCAGATATCAAATTTAATCATTTTCTTTTTTTTCCTAATAGGATAACATATAATACCCTCAAGTGTATAAATCAGATTCATTATCGCATGAAGTGTAAAAATATTGAAATAGGCAGGTATCTTGCACGAATTGTTAACTTTATAGATTACAGCTGTTTTCATAAATTCTCATTATCACAAAGTTATAAAAATAATAAATCTAGATGATTAACCCGGGTTAATCAATCTAAAAAAGCATTGAAAAACGGGGGCTTCGTTAAAAATTGCAATGTATAAAATATCAATATACAATGTACGACATGTTATTTAACTAAGTAGTTAAATATCTAGTTGTATATTGTAATGATTATCTTCAAAGGTACGATGTTTATTCTTTTAAATTAAACAACAAGTTTATTATTGATTTTAAAACTTCGGGATGTAAGTTGATAGGGATACTCACGGCCTAGTTTAACACGCAAGAGAAAGCGATATTTAATAGAAAATTCTACAGTATTAACAATAAAATGAGTCCATTATTTTATAAATAACTTACGTCCTGGTAATTTAATAAAAGCGAAAGAACAGGGAAGTAATATTTTAATAGAGAATAAAATGTGCACATTATTTTATGAATAAACCGCAATACGTATATACTTACGCCCTAGTAATTTTACACGTAGGAGAAATAACAGATAAGTAACATTTAATAGAGTTCTTTTGATAATAAAATGCCTGCATTATTTTATGAATAAACTGTACACATACTCCCTGATAATTTAGCACGCAGGCGACAGGACAGAGAAGTAATATTACTATTGAGGGGGGTCTAATTATTTAAAAATTGCAGGGTTCTAATTACTGAACTACAAAATAAATGAAGGTCAAATATTATGGTTCATATGTTCATTTTTCTTTTAATTTTACTATGTATTTCCTCATTTTGACAATATCTGTAAAGAAGATGCAGTACGTAATACGTACAATACTGGGGTGTATCATGCAAGTCTAATTACAAACATAGTGCAGGTGATATAGTGATAATCATTAGTTATATTAAAAATTTTTTTGATCTGCACGCAATAGTAAAAACTATAGTAAAGTCGTCTTCTTTCGTTTTTAATTTCTCCCGTAATATTTAACATTTTTTAATTCTATAAACGCAAAACGTTTAATTATGGATGCCTTTACAAAGTAACAACGTCAGAATTTTACTTATCTTTTAGCAGCTAACTAAATTTGCTTTGTAAATTTGGCCAACCAGGTTACTAGTTTCGATCAAATAAAACTTCATTAAATGTAATAAAGTATATTAAAAAAGGTATTTATTAAATTTATAAATATAATATTATATTCACATTCTTTTAAAATTCAAAATACACCAAAAATTTACATATTAAATTAAAGATCTATTTGTTCTTGAGTAGTATGGCTTACTGTGTTTGTGGTTTTTTTGTTACGTCGCCAGGTAAGAAAGCTACTAAGAATTTCATGAGCCTTTTCTTCTTTAGAAATTTCACTACTTTCTAAATCTAATTGCTCATTAACTTTAGAATTGTTAATGTTTTTCCAGATATCTCGCAATATATCTTGTGAAATTTCTTGAGCTCCACCATCCAAACCCGAAAGCTGAATACGTGATTCCTGTAATTGTATATTCATATTTGGATGAACCTTCATGTCATATCGATTGAATAGCCCTTCCAGTTGTTGCTGATGGACTGTAATGCTCCATATACGGAATTTAATAAATTCATATACATGAGGAAACTTTACTGGTTCTACTATATCGGAATTAGCAAAGGCTTCAAATTGTTCAAAAAAATCACGTTGTGATAATGCCTCTAGTGGCCCGAAAGTATTTGAATGTCCATTAGACAGGTCTTCTTTCAAAGCCTTGATATAAGAGACCTTATTTAAAGTAGGTGCTTTTAAAAAAATTTTATTGAAAAATACTGCTAAAAAAGCACGTGCAAATTCAGGCCCATTTACACCGCCTAATCAACAAACGCAAAGAAGTAAGTGAATCCAGGTTTCCATCTATTTAACAAACCCATTTAATGCACTTTCTATTCCAGTATGTAATGATGTACAAAAATTTTCAAAATCTACTACATTTAGCTCACATTCTGCATCAGTTAATTCATTGCCAAATAATTCATAAATATTTTCTAGGTAATATCGAAGCTTTTGAATCCATACCATTATTTTGTCAGGCATTTCATGCGCATGATTACCTGCTGGAAGATTATCGACATTATTTGGTTGATGAATTTGTAGAATTGGGTCATATCTGGTCAGAAAATTATAAACAGGTTTGTAAAACTCCTGTCCAAATTTAACAAGAGTTCGTATTTGGAGATTAAGTTGCTTATTGGTAAGCCACTTAAAAAATATTTGCCACTTGTTCAAATATGACTTTGGAATGTCTTTGGCATTTTCAAGTTGGTTAATAAAAAATTGAGCAAAGCAAATATGAACTTCGTGTCTTTCAAGGTATTGTTTGGCAGTTTTAAGTTTATATAACTATCATTGATGGATAGATTGTTGGTATTGGCTCATTTCAAAGTCGAACAAAGTTTTCGCAATGTTCCAGATTTTAGGTTTAACAGACTGTCTTTATCTGAAAGATTATATCCATCATGAAGGTGAAAAGCAAGATAAAGCAAATTATATAGATGTTTTTTTAATGATAACCCTTTAATATTATCTACTTTTCCATATGCTACATTTTCAAAATTTATTAGAGCGATATGGGTTGCATGTAGCCCACAAGGAATCCAGAACGATTTAGATGATGCTAATTAATTGAACTTAGCAACTGCACCATTAACTTCCGAGGACATATAAGCCGTATTATTCGTTAACCAAAAATGACATTTTTGGGAATCAATTCCTTTTTGTTGACATGCTTCAAAAACTGAAGTTGAAACTGTTTTGGCATTACAATGTGTTAGATCTTTTAATTTTATTATGGTAATTGTAGGCTTTTCTTTAATATGATTCCAATATAAAAGACAAATAATTAGCACTTTCATTTCTCCTCAAGTACTTTTGTCAACCATAATTCCATAGCCAAAAAATCTAGAACCTTCAATGGGATGGTTTTGAGCGAAAGACACAGCTGCTATTTCATTATTCCATTGTGCTAAAGTTCTTGCTGTTATCCAATGCGGTGGCATTTTTCTAGTTACAAACTGATAAACGGCTTTAGTAATCTCTACTGTTGCACTTATTGAGGTTTGTCCTATAGTACTAATGTTGGTAGCTAATTTTACAAATCTCACATCATATTCATTATTATTAATTTTAAACAATTTACTTGCTGCATGCCGGAATTGGACAGGACAAATTTTTTTTGCTTTACGAATTGAAAAGCGAATTATTGAAATTTGATTTTGCTTAGATTGTTTGGCTCTCGCTATTCGTATAGAAAGTGAACGAGTATTGAAAGAAGATTTAAGTCTCTTTAGATGACATTTTTCTTTTTTTATATTTTTATTTTTTAATTCTAATACACTAATAGTATAATTATGTTTATAGAAACTAGTATTTAAAAATTCACACGCCTTTTTTTGTAAATAGGTAGAGATTATTTCTCCTTCACGATTTCCTTGGGGATATATCATTGTTCAAAGAAGCATCGATGCATCAGAAATTTGGGATTAGGTAAATTTAAAATATTTATAATAAACATGGCATTACGTTTTGCTTGAATACAAGTGTTCATTTTTTGAGATTCAATTATTTTTTTTATGATATAATTGAAATCATCATCATCTAATTTTTCGAAAGTTGAAATTAGGTAATTAAGCAAGTTTTCTCGTTGTTCATATTTTTGCTTACGTCTAATCTTTTTAAGTTGTTTACACAGGTTGAAATCAAAAATATCTTCCCTGTATCTTCAAATAATTGGCCTAGATGATAGCAGGATGATATAGTGATAGCTATGAACTGATATGATAGTGTATAAAAAAAGCTGATATGCAAAAAATTAGGGTAAATTATAATGCATATACGGAAATTAACATTCGCATATTGTTAAGATGATTTGTTTATCATGTAGAAGATATAAGGCCGATATGAACAAAATTTTTTAATAATAATTTGATGATTAGATAAATCATTAGCCGATATAGTGAAGGCTAATTTGTGAAAAAATTTTATC